TCAGATCTGCATCCAGCTTACTGTGTAAGCAAACTGGCCCCTCACTTCTCAACCCGGCTGTGTCTTTCGCTCAATTTTCATGCCCAAGTGTAAGGTGACCAACCGTCCTCCTTTAGGGAGGACAGTCCTCCTTTGGTAAGTTCTGTCCTCTCGCGAAAATTGTCCTCCTACATATCCTCCTTTTTGATATTTGCAGACTAATCTGTAAATCTCCGTATTTGTTCGATGTCGATCCTGTGATGTGACGTATTGGTATTTGACATGACGATTCGTCAAGGCTCGGTACATTGCGGCGAGACGCAATTATGAGACTCATGCGCTCCACACAGGAGAATTGTTTTGGCACCATGCGCAAGTGGCTTTGTTTTTTTTTCCTTCCATTTATTTGTGTCCTCTGTCTCGTTGTAAAAAAGTTGGTCACCTTACCCAGGTGGCATCAAGTGTCAAAAGAAGAACTTGTTTTTTTATATTCTCTAGGAAGCTCATAGGGTGCCTGCTTCCTGACAATAAGACTCTGCACAAGCCAGAATGCTTCCTTGAGAATCCCAGGTCACAGATCTTGCCAGCTTATAATGCCAGTCTGTTCTTGCCAGGGTTGACCACCCCCCTCCTCAGCTCAACAGGCCTTCTTTCAGCAAATGCTGAGGTTTTCTTCGGTTTTTCTTCTCCGCTGATTAGAAGATGTTCCTTTAGCTATCTGGGGAATCCTGGGAGCTGAAGCCCACTCGTTTTAAAGCATGTTTCTGGAACCAACCAAGGAGAGAAGGAACCTAGAACTAAGGAGAGATTTCCTGACAATGAGCGCAATTAACCAGCAGAACAATTTGCCCCCAGAGGTTGTGGGTGCTTCATCACTGGAGATTTTCAATAAGAGGTTACACAGCCATTTGTCTGAAATGGTACAGGATTTCCTGCCTAGGCAGGGCGTTGGACTGTAAGACCTCCAAGGTGCCTTCCAACTCTTGTTATTCTGCATTCTGCATTGAAGGAGGCTGGCTGGGAAGTTCTGCGAGTTGAAATCCACCCCCTCCTCAAGCGGACACAATTCAGAAAAAGGGAGCGAAGTCTAGGTTTTAAACCAGCTTCCGCATTCAGATCTCCCTAACACAAACCAAGGAGGTAGGGTGGTGAGTCTAAGAGGTAGATGGGGAGAAAACATTTGCGGGGATGATGGGAAGTGTAGTCCAACACACCTGATGGGCACCAGGTTAGAGAGGATTGACCCAGAGTCTTTGGTTGAGTTCTACTCTTTGTCTCTGTACTTCTCGGGGGCGTTTATAGATGCTACGGATGTGCCATGATGTAACGAAGGTGCTGAAATACATTTCAGGATTGCCAAAGGAGCCCTGCATATTTCCACGTAGGTAAATCCAGGGGCCAAAGTCACACCGTGTTTCCAGGGGTTGATTTATGGATGTGCCAATGTCCGTACGCCTACATGCCAAAAAGGCCACACTGTGGGGAGAAAACAAATTCAGAATAAACTAAAGCAGAGTTTCTACTTTTGGTTTTTGTGGGAACTTAAATCCAGGAGGAGTTTTTGATTACAATCCAGGTCAATTTGCAGGCTCTTTTTTTTTTTCCTTTTTTTTCTGGGGGCAGAGGAGATGTTTATGGAGATTCTCAACTAACCCGGTCATGGTTGTCCCAGAACTGAAGAAGCTTCTTGGATGAGAAGCGAAATGTTTTCAAAGAAAAAAAAAAAAGGTTCAGTGGCCTTTGGAACAAAAGCACCTGTGGGATTTATTTGGCTTTGGGGTACCTGTCATCTTGGAGTGGAACGAGAAACCGACATTAAACCAACGCCATCGAGAAGCTGAGCTGCTCTCTCTGCCTGCTCCAATGGGTCACAAACCGGCAAATGCCAACCTGCGACCTCTTCCCCCACCTCCCTCCCTCCCTCCCTCACCCCCTCCTCCTTTCTTCCCAGATCCCAGCAGCCCCCCCTCTCCGAGAGCAGCCCATCCTTCCTCTGGTTCCCGGGACAACCCCTGGTGTGGCAACAACTTCAGTTCCCAGCTGTTGTGCAATGTCAAGTCCAAAGAACACCCTTCTTACACAACAACAACCGTGGGCGGAAAACCTTAATCCTCCCCCCACCCTTTTTTTTCTTTTTGCGTGTACCTTGAAAAGGAGCCTCGCAAAGCCTGTTTTATTGCACACTTCTTAGAATAGAATAGAATTCTTGTGTGAATGGACACACAGGGAATCTGTCTTGGTGCAAATGCTCTCAGTGTACATAAAAGAAAAGAGACATCGTCAAGAATCATCAGGTACAACACTTCATAATCATCATAGGTACAATAAGAATAGAATAGAATAGAATTAGAATAGAAATAGGATGGAAATAGAAATAGAAATAGAAATAATAGAACAGAATAGAATTCTTTTATTGGCCAAGTGTGATTGGAAGCACAAGGAATTTGTCTTTGGTGCAAATGCTCTCAGTGTGCATAAAAGAAAAAATTCATTCGTCAAGAGTCCAGAATCATCAGGTGCAACACTTAATAATAGCCATAGGGTACAATAAGCAATTGAATCATACCAGGAAACAGTCCATATAAATCTTTAGGATACAAGCGAAAAAGTTAGTCATACAGTCACAAGTGGGAGGGGATGGGTGATAAGGAGTGACGAGAAGATTAATAGTAATAGTCGTGCAGATTTTGTAAGTAGTTGGACAGGGTTGAGGGAATTATTTGTTTAGCAGAGTCATGGCCTTCAGGAAAAAAAAACTCTCCTTGTGTCTAGTTGTTGCGATGCGCAGTGCTCTATAGCGTCATTTTAAGGTTTATTAAAACAGTTTATGTCCGGGATGTGAGGGGCCTGTAAATTCTTCTTCTGGGTCCTCTTTGCCACATGTCCAAAGGGCAGACTCGACCGAGGGACTCTTAGCTCTTTGAGAAGAGTTGTCTTCTGCCTGGACTTGGGAGGGGGGAAAAGATTGCTGCTGACGGCCACTCAGCTCCCTGGTGGTTCACAGGAGGTTTAGGTTGAGGCCTGCACGATTTGGGTAGGTGGGTTTGATAGCAGCCCTCAACTCTTCCCCCAATCATTAGCATTCGAAGCCAACAAGGGGAGCTATGCAGTAATGGAGTAATATCTCCCCACCTCCATCTCCCTCCCCTCCCCAAGACACAGCAAAGCCTGGTCTCATTGAAAAAAAATTGAATCCCACCACTGCTGTTGATCACCTGACCAGAGCAGCCCAACAATTCCTGGTCCTAAATCCTTTTTCAGGTCAGTCGTTAAGCAACCAGTCCAAGGCCAGGGACTAGCTGTCCAAAAGGCTTCCTTTTGGGGTGTGTTTGTGTCCACAACTGGTGCCTCGGGTCATTATGATGTAAGCTTTAGAGCAAGGGTCTCCAACCTTGGCAACTTTCAGCCTGGAGGACTTCAACTCCCAGAATTCCCCAGCCAGCCATTAAAGTTGTCAACATTGGAGACCCCTGGGAAGATGTCTTGAGCACAGAATCCTGGGAGTTGAAGTCCTCCAGTCTTCAGGTGGCCAAGGTTGGAGACCCCTGCTTTAGAGCAAAGTTCTCCACTGTTGGCCACTTTTAGGCTTGGGGACTCCAACTCCCAGAATTCCCCCTGCTGGCTGGGGAACCCTGGGAGCTGGAAGTCCCCAAGGCTTAAAGGAGCCGACGTCGGAGACCCCTGCTTTAGCGAGAGCGAATTTAAATGTCTCTAGAGGACAGTTTGGATCCGAAGACCCCATCCAAGCGGAGGGTAACCATCTTGATAGGACAGAAGGCAAAAACGAATGAGGGCAATCATAGTTTATTCTATCCACGAGCTTCTGCCAACGTGGTTTAAAGTTAGATTTGTAAAGTCCCTCTGAAGCACGGCGACCTGTTTTCACATCCTTCGCGTGCCTGTCACGGTACTGTTGGGTTGGGTTTTTATTTTCCTGAGAAATGTCCGCTTGGCCAAAGCGTTTAAAACAAATAAAAACCAGTAATCCGTGAGAATCGGCAGCCATCAGATCTCCAGCTTTGTTCGCTGAAGCATTGCTAAGTGCTCTAAGTGCGGCGTGCAGAAAACGAGGGCCAGTTTGAAGCTTTTTGTGGAGGACTTTTTGTACAGCGGTTGCCCAACAGTCCTAGGAAGGAGGAAAATGGGCGTGCCGAGCCTTGAAGCCGATCTCCTTGTCAAGAGGGCACAGAGGATATTTATTCATCTTTGGAAATTAAGTATGTTGCTATGCCCACAATCAAGATAGCCTTAACTATTTAGCAATAAGGCAGAAATCAGCCAGGGAAAAAATCTTATCTGAGAAATCGGAGTTGAGAACAAACGACGCCCTGATTGGCTGCAGCAAAACGTGCAGCTCCTGGGAGCAATGCTTACTTTCTGTGGCAAATATGCAAGTCTATTTCTTCGTTGCTACTCGGCATGCTTGGATGAGCCCATAAAGGCAGAATTCAGGTTGGATGCGCCCAGTTTAGGATGTTAAGGCTGTTGACTCTCCCTGGATTAAATAATGTTAATTTTTCAAAAGGAGCTGGAGTAAGTAAATATCCCGACACTGAATGAGTACAGGTGGCTACACGGGTTAGATAAATATAGAACATGACCTCATGAATATAACAAAAATGAGAGAGAGAGAGAAGGAAGGAAGGAAGGAAGGAAGGAAGGAAGGAAGGAAGGAAGGAA